TTTCCTTCCCAAGCATCAAAGGCATCCATCATTTTCTTCAACTCTGCTACTGAATAATAGCTCCAAATGTACTGAACGTTATTTCCCGCCTCTCTAGAAATATTGCAAAAAGTAATGAAAATATACTATCCAGGTATGAATGTGTGTACATATACACAACTTATAGATACACAGTAAGTGCCTGTTAATTAAGGAAAAAAATTATGTAGGTATTGAGTAGTTGTTTTGTGACCCTTAAGCATATATACGCACATATATTAATACACATATACTCACTGTATCATATACTAACCTACATGTGATCTCTTTATTGTGGTAAAGCATTTGTTAATTCCACAATATAGACCACGTAGACAAATCAACACATCTTTAAAATCAAGTTTTTTAAAAAAAATCAGCTAACTAAAATAAACTTAGAAAAGATTCAACTTTGACTAAAATTTTTCTAGCATTATATCAGGTACCTACATGTCTTATATAGAAGCATCCTTGACTGTAAAGAATTCAGAAACTGACGATATACTTCATCATCTAAAAAGCAAGCTTACACGGTCATGCTTTAGTCACTAATATGCGACCCAATCCAGTCTCCCAGAGAATTTTTAAAAAAAGTTTGCTAAGCGAATTGACCAGTGTAAATATAATATGATTACAGGGAAAATATTAAGGGAATAACCCTCAAGAATTTAACATGTTCAAGTCAGAGAATTCTAAAGGGACCAGGGAACTTTGTCATTTCTCAGAAGAGGACACACAAGGTGCAAGCTGGCTCTGGGTCACTCAGTGGGCTTGCTGACCTCTAGGCCAGTGCGTCTATGGCCTACGGAAGATATCAGGCATGTGGCTTTCCTTTTCTTTTTGTTAAAGCCTCTCAGGGGACTCTGATCCACCCTTCCAGCTGAGAACCACTGTACTAAATCATATAGATGGCCGGTAGCTTATATATACTGTATGTGAAATGGTCTTAATTATAAACTCATGAAGCAGGCCTATCTCAACAGCTACTGTCTACTACCCTCTGTCTACTACCCTGTCTACCGAGAGGTATTGATGATGGTCTTTTCTAGACAAGTGCAATATTCCATGCAGTAAAACCTCTAAGAAGAAATCAAGATTTTATTTTGTTCCTTTTTACATTTAAATGTGGACATACCTTTTAAAAATGCTTTTACTGTGAATTCTTCCTCCCAGCTGCTTATCAATAGCATCTGTTCCATCAGTTTTGGTGGCATATACACCAATAATTCTACTCTCGCAGCTTGCACCAGATGTGTTAAGATAGTGGAGAACCCAAACTGTTGGGTTTATTGCAAACTAAACCATATGAATCACAGAAGTCTGTTAAAGCCTTTTTAAGTTCTATATTTGACCTTAAAGAATATGTCTCCATTTCATTGGCCAAGTGGTCGGATAGGCTGTATGGATAAGGGATGCCAAAGTAATCGGCCTCTTCCTGTAGGGCCACACGAGTTTGCTCATCTGTAGGAATCTGAACTTCTCCGTGAAGATAATCCAAAAGGTATTTAAATAGATGTCCATCACGGTCAATAACACAAGCCCCTAGAAAACATTCAGTTCAAAAATGATTGCAAAGATTCATATGACGATCAATAAAATTTCAACAACTCAAACTAGGTCTGAGGACCTCTACAATTAGAAATACTTCTTTCTCATAAGAAGGTTAATATCTAGTGTTCAAAGAGGTTCAATTAATCTAACTAAGCCAGGCTTTTAGTTCTTCATTCAAACAGCAGATATGATATACAAGCAACCCTCAGCTTACAAATAGGTGATATCCTAAAACTGAATTTGAGTGAGCTGTATGGGAAAACCACCTGCATTTCTATAACAATGCACGTAAGTCTGAATGCAAACATGTATCACCAGGGTCTCCATGTGTGGTTGTGTGGATGTATTGTGTGTACCAGTGCCAGGCCAAGGGGATGAGTGAGGCTGAAATCAAGCCCGTACTCTGCGCACCAAGCCATGCACCCTGGCATGGAACTGCATCTTCCTGGATAAAACGGCAGCCTTTTCAAATTTGTACAAAGAGATTGTATGAGTTAGTGGTGGACCTTTATATTCTCACCCACCATGTAGGAAAATACATTCTGAGATCCATTTGGAACTTTGGATGCAATGACTGTATTCCCACTATGGCCACTGCAAAAGCCAAGGACCCCAGATTGCATGTAGAAACAGAAGTTTACCTCTAACCTCAGCCCAGCTGGACCAGGACAGGCATAGGAATTGCTCACTAAGAAGGGCATATGGGGTGCTCATCACTATGTCCACTGTTTGCAAATCAGAGACACAATAAGCCTGGAGTTCCTATGTGCAGGCAC